AAGCCTTCCGAGACGCCTGATTTTCTTTCTTCTGGAAATGTTGAGATATCTGCTCAAGATAATCCCCAAGAGTCTGCCCTGCCCCAATCTGGAAATTGGCCTCGAAAACCTCTAGGTCCGAGAACTGGCCTGTGAAATACTCGAGAATGACATGTTTAATCTCGGGGTCGACATACTCTGGCCATCTAAGATCGGGAATAATTCTGTTCAAAAGCGCCTGCAATGCAAAAACTTGTGCATGGGGCCCAGAGCGTCGCAGGAAATGATCACGATCCTGCACACGTGCGACGATCACCTGCCACCAGTTTGCGTCGCTGGTGGCCAGCCCCGTCTGGGGCGCTGGCGGCAGCAGAGGACGCCTGAGCAGTTGCGCACACTGGCCTCGCTGCGGGGCGGACTGGGATCCCACCTTGTTGTGGGTTTCCTGCAGCTCCAGGGCTCGACTCAAGATGGCATATTCTCGGGTAATCTGCTTGCTGACATGCTGGGCACAAACGGGGTAGGTGGGTGTGAGGTTCATGCTCTCCTCCTCCTTCTCCGCCCTCTCGTAATAGTATTCCCACGAGTGTTTGACTCCAGAGTATTCTTTGGGGAGAGGGGGGGCTCGACTGCATGCCAAAATCTCCTTCTGAGCGACTGCACGTGCCAGAACTCCTGCCACGCCTAGATGCGGTCTCCACGGGCCCTCCAGGACAGCCGTGAGGGAGGTGTCGAGGGCAAGACGCTGGTCGACCACAAAATAGTCCAGCATGCGATGCCCATTCGAGCACGTCCACGTCGTATTTTCTGGGGTAACCACGACCCCACGTACCCAGGAAAGCCACTTCATGGGTTTCCGTCAAAAAACGACTCAGGATGAGAAACGAGTCCGGGGCAATGTCACCTCTTCGTGACTGATAAGACAGGATCCACAGACGAATCGCTTGACATAAAAAATGAGCTCACTTCCAAAATTCAGAACTGAAACATGTCGACCTGAGTTGAGCCATATGTGAATTCAACTCTAACACCACCGCCCGCCCCGAATCATGGCTCTCGCGTTGGCGCTGGTCTCGCGCCGTGTGCAACGAGGACGGGCTCTGCGCTGTTCTTGGTGCGTTGCTACTCTGTTGCGCGCGAGCGCTCGCCTGCCCGGTGCGCGCACGCGCGCGCCTCCCGCCTCGCCCGCAGCGGAAGCGCGCGCGGTGGCATCCAGCGCGCGCCGATCCCGCCGCGCGCCATGCGCGCGCGAAGGCATGAGTGCGCGCTCGGAATTTCCCAGCGCGGGCGCGAGCCCCCTAGGGACGGGTAGCGGTATCGGTATCCTTTTACCAGGAGGGAGGCAGGTCCTTGACTCCCGGGGCTTCTCCAGGAACAACTGTTCATCCTGCATCTTTCTTGACTGGGAAGGCCCCCGGGAGCCCCAAACCGGCGAACAAAAAAACACCCTGCTTGCTTCTAGGGTGCCCTGGGTTTCTTGGGTTTCGCTGGTTTTTCTACGGAAGGCGTGGCGTTCCCACACCAAAAATCAGGGTCTCAGGGTTGGGTTTCTTGTGGAAGGTTTCTTGTGGACTGGCCTCCACTGTAGGCGCGCGGAACGCGCGACGACACATCGCCCGACCAAGCCGCGTGACAAATTGTGCCCCGTGGCCGGCATCCCGTACGATGATTTTTAGTGCGAGCGGCGCTCCCGCAACTCTTGCTGCACGTCGTCCGAGAGCATTTGGTCGTTGCCACTTCGGGTTTTGTCGCGGCTCTGCGCCGCCGGCGGGTTTTGTCATCCGCCGTGCAGGTGTTTTTTTGTGCTGTTTGAATTTGTCGTCGGCCTCTTTTTTTCGTCGTCGGCCTCTTTGTTTGTTGCCGTCGTCCCCGTTCGTGTCGTCGGCCATTTTTTGTCCTCGGTTCTTTGGGGTGTCCTTCACGGTCGGATTCAGGGTTTGATCAGGGCTCTTCAACATGTTTGGGGCCCGTCGCGGCCGGATCAATGTTCCTTTCCTTTCTCGTTTCGAGCGTCCCCATCACCCCGTCTGGAAACGATGCCCAGGCGTTGCTCATGGAAGTTCGATTCGTGGTCTTCGCCCACCCCCTTGAGAGACCGCGCGCAAACGCTGGGGGGGGCTGAACGCTAATAGCGCTTGAGACGCGTGACGGGCGCCGCGGCTTCATTCATAAAATGCAGATGTATGTGTTCCAAACTGTTTTTGTCGTTCGTCGCTGTGTGATCCTGTGGAAATGGAGGGAGGGAGTAATTGGTCGAGACTTCTGGGGATCGACGTTGTGAACAAATCTCGGGCCGGACGAAAGGGGGGATAGGGAAAGGGGGGGTTACGAAATGTGCTGCATGTAGCTGGTTTCGGCCCCACCGAGGGGCCCATTCCTCGATACATGGCCGCCTCCGGCGCCTGGAGGCGCCAGGAAAATCAGCTACGTGAGCTGATTCTTTGCTATCCCCCCCTTTCGCCCAGCCCGAAAATCATGACGTCAGGGGTCGGGGTTCGCAGTCCTCCAGTTGTGCGCACGCCGACGTGTTCTTCGTTCGGCCTGGAAGCGCGCCGACGGCGCCACGGGCCGGGCGCGGCTCGAACAGAGTTGTCAGCACGGCGCCCCGCATGGCTCCGCGACGGGTGGAACTCCAGCTTGGCGGGGCCAGCGTGGCCATTCCTCAGTCTTGTGTTAAGTCGGGCCTGTCCCTCTACAGGGGGAACATTCAAAAGTAATAAAGAAAAGTCTGGGGACGATGTTTTGAGTATTTTTTGACCATTCGGATTTTTTTAATTTTTAGATTTTCGTCCAAAATCCTCGGAAGGGGGACAGGCCCGACTTAAAGCTTGGCTGGGCCAGCGTGGCCACTCCTCAGTCTCGTGCCCAGCTTCGTTTCCGCCCGGAGCGCCAGGCGGGGCCATCTGCGCCTGGCCTGCTCGCCCTGCAGGTGTGTGCGCCTAGCCCCCGCGATGGCGGACCAGAGTGAGGGGCGCCTGGGCTGCCTCGTCGGGGCTGCGGCGCGGAGCACGAGCGCCACGGCAACAGCCCAATGTGCAGGAGCCCGCCGCGCTGGCCGAGGCCATCAGCCCGCCGCAGGCGCCGATCTCCTGTGCAGAGTCATGCGGGCGCATCGCGGGGGGGGGCGAGGCATCGGCAGGTCACGAGGCTCGAAAGCCTTTCTCGAGCAAGGCCAGCGCAGGCGCCGACTTCTTTTGCAGACCGCAGCTGGCTTGTTGCAGGCGTCGAGTTTCTGGTCATACGTTCAGTGTAGGTCGATTGCGGGTGCGGGTCGCGGGCGTGGGTCGCGGGTGGGTCGCTGGGGAGTCGCGGGCATGGGTCGCGGGTGGGTCGCTGGTGGGTCGCGGGCGTGGGTCGCGGGATGGGTCACGGGGTGCGTCGCGGGGTGGGTCGCGTGGGCGACAGCGACGACGACGACGACGACGACGACGACGACGACGACGACGACGACGACGACGACGACGACAACAACACAGTATCACAAGACTCGGCACTAGGGAACCCCACTTCAGCCACGCGCGCGAGGACAGTGTGCCACCGCTCGGCCTACCCAGACGTGCGCGCAGAGGCGCTACTTCGCAGCACCGCCTTGCGAACGAGCGCATCCAGCAGGTATGTTCTGCAGCTCGAGCGCAGAGGGTTCGCTTTCTGGCCGTGCGGGTCCTCCGCCACTCTCCCGCGGGCGTTGGGACGAGTGCATTTGTGAGTGTAATACATTCGACTGGTAGTTGACGCCTTAGTGGGCCCCGGAAACGACAGGGCCGTTTTTTTACCGGTTCCGTTTTGCCGTTTTTGTTGCTGGTTCCGACGCCTTTTTTTTACCGGTTCCGTCGCCGTTTTTGGACCGGTTCCGGCTCCGGTTCCCATCCTGGAGCCGTTTTTTTGCCGTTTCGGGCCGTTTCCATTTTCACGGGACATTTTTTGGGAAACGGTGAAAAAGCGGCCCTGCCGTTTCCGGGGCCCACAAAGGTTGACGCCCATGTCAATTCATGCCCATCTGTCCAAGCCAACGCGTCATGCTATGCAGCTTTTCTGTCGCCCTCCAGGCGCACCCGATCTGTCATGTCCCGCGCACGTTCCTGCAAGCAGCCCACGTCGCATCGCTTTCTGCCGTGCCATCCACCTGCCATCGGCCGCAAGTCGGCATGACTGCTCCTTACATGAGATGGGGTGCGAATGGGTTTCCAGTCGGGGCACCGAGGAAGGAACCCTTTTCGTTGGGGAGGGGCTCCGCGTTCCTTAAGTGTTCCGCAGCTTGCCTCATGTTTTCCTTATGTTTTCGATCGGAAATCGAAGTTGAACTTATGGAAAAAAGAAGCCTCGTTCCTTATTTAGGGTTCCTTAGGTCAACGCCCCTTCTGTATGGCAGAGTTGGTACATACGGATGACAGGCGGACGCCAGTGTAATTCCCTGCTCTCGTTTGCAGACCTCGCGCGTGCATCTGTCACCTCGAGGATGTTCCTCACCAGTAACTGAGCCGATGCCGTTCCCATTGGTGCCAGTATCCCTCCGCGCTCGAACTCGCCCAACTGGTTATCTTCTCACGCCTTTGCAGCTTTCACTCATTGCGCACAGCTTTGATTAGCGTGCTTCCCTGGGCGCTCGTCCCCTGGCAGTAACTACAAGAAGCACGTCAAAGAAGAAACCGATTTGCCAGCAGGTGACCCATGGAAGCTTCTTATCCCCGATGGCCCTGGGGGCCCACAGGAGCGCTGGGGCACCGCAGGAAGCTCAAAGCCTTAGATCTCTTATAGCAAGATTTCATATCGTATGCGTCTACGGTAGCTTGCCTTGCCCCCTCCCCTCCTGCAGGAACCGCGTGGTCGACCAGATGCCGAGCTACTGCGGCAAGCCCTGCACCGGCAGCGCCCGCGATGTCGCGAACTGCACGAGCCCGTGCGCGAAGCAGCTCTTCTGCGTGTGGACGGACTGGTCGGACGCGGACCTTCCTGGGTGGTGCCTTAAATCTGAAGAAGGAAAAGTTGCATGAACATGCATTTTCGGATGTCCGCGCGGATTAATTACTTGGGTCGGCGCTTGGGCTCCCCTGGCGGCGCCTCTGGCGCCGCCCATGGTGCGCTCGGCGCGCCAGGGAGGGGGGCTTCAGCGCCGGTCCAAGAAATCCGCGCGAACCTCCGAGAAATTATTCCCCACTTTCTAAGTGGGACCTTGTTACCAATGGACACCCCGCAAGTCGGCCTATGTTTTTCCCCTCGTGGAGCCCGCGCCCACTGCCAGGACACTTCAGCCCGAGCTGGCCGCTCCGGCGCGCTCATCCTGAGAGTCTTTCTGCGGTGAGTGTTACGTCGGGCCTGTCCCTCTACAGGGGTAATGTTCAAAAATAGTAAGAAGATGGTCGGGGGACGATTTTGGGGGCACTTTTGCACCATTTTGGGAGCTTTGTTGGGGTATCTTTACTTTTTCGTCCCAAATCCCCCTGCACCGTCGGGGCCCTGAAGAAGGAACCCTTTCGGTTGGGGAGGGGCTCCGCGTTCCTTAATTGTTTCACAGCGTGCCCCACGTTTTCCTTATGTTTTCGATCGGAAATCGAAGGTTAACTTATGGAGAAAATGGGCCTCGTTCCTTATTTAGGGTTCCTTAGGTCAACGCCCCGACTGTATGGGGGACAGGCCTGACTCAAGGTGAGTGCCTTCCTCCCCCCGCCCTCTGCGGCCGCCTCCCCCTGCCATGTCCAGCTCTTGCAGCTGGCCGATCTCGTGGCCGACTGCCCCCGGCAACTTGCTTTCGGTCGGGCCCGCCCCTCTACAGGGGGGATATTCCAAAATAGTCAAATGATACTAAAAGTCTGGGGACGCCGTTTTCCAGCATTTGTTATCAATTTGGGGGTATTGTTGGAGTATGTTTGATTTTTCGTCCAAAATCCCCCTGTAGGGGGACAAGCCCGACTTAAGTCCAGCTCTTGCAGCTGGCCGGTCACGTGGCCGACTGCCCCCGGCATCTTGATTTCGGTCGGGCCCGTCCCTCTACAGGGGGGATACTCAAAAATAGTCAAAAGATACTTTATTTGTGAATTTAATTGGTTTCAGGGTTTTAACAAATGGTCGCAGCCACGCAGGGGGCGTGCGTAGCGACGCCCCAGATGCTCGGTCTCCAGCACTTCTACGTGGCGGCGCCCCCGCAGGCACGCAGAGGGCACGCGTGGCGACGGGGGCGTCGCCACGCAGACCTCCTAAAGACCAAACATTTTGAAAACCAATTCTTCCCACTACTAAAGTATTCAAAAATAATCAAAAGATAGTCTGTGGACGATGTTTTGAGCATGTGTTGCCCATTTGGGGGCATGTTTGGAGTAGTTTTGATTTTTCGTCTAAAATCCCCCTGTAGGGGGACACGCCCGACTTATGTCCAGCTCTTGCAGCTGGCCAACCACTTGGCCGACTGCCCCCGGCAACCTGATCCCGCGGGCGGATTGCCTCTGCCGCGCCTCGACGCAAACCTTGTTTCTGTTGTTCTGCCCCGCGTCCACGGTGCAGTCGTCCTCCTCGCCCTCTCGTGTCCGCCGCTGCGCGGATGCGGGGCCGCAGACGGCCCGCACGGCCGCCAGGATACCTGCGGCGGCTGTGGCCTCACGACCACGTCGCGCACGCGGTCGCTGGACTTCTCGGAGGGCTACGTCGACAGCTACCTGTTCCAGGCGTGCGCGAGAAAGCGTTCAACCCGGCCACGCGCAGAGTGGGTCACAGTGGGCGGCTTGAATAAGGAACACCTATTTTTCAAAAGGGGCTCGGTCGTTCCTTAGGCTTGCATGCGTTATTTACAGTTCCTTATGCGTTACTTGTTATTTATCGTTCCTTATGCATTACATCTTGGGATAAAAAGGGGCTTCGTTCCTTATTTATCGTTCCTAAGGTCAGGCCGATGACTGTACAGCCGGACCGAGGTATCAGATCGCCTGCGAAGGAGCGGCTTCCTGGCAAGAGGCTTCCCCCCCTCCCCCTCAATACCCCCCTCTGCGCCCCGCCGGTCAGCGAAGCAAGATTTAAGTCGGGCATGTCCCTCGCTACAGAAGGACAAATCAGAAAGAGTCAAACAATAGTCTAGGGACGATTCTTATACAGTTCTGATCCTGTTTGAAGTGTTAGGTTCAGAGCGTGAATTACCTACCCCGCTTTCGCTTCCAGGCAAAACCAAGTCATACCACGCGCCTTGCCGTCGAGTCGCCTGACCAGTGCGTGCCGTAGTTTGGCATCGCTTGGTAGCTCTTGTAAGCGAGGGTGGTCAAAAGCGAGGTAGGTTTGTTTGCCCCCTATAAGTGGCTATTTGTACGGTTTCTCAAAAAATCCGCCTGTAGGAGGACATGCCCGGCTTGGAGCAAGATACGCACGGCACGTCGGATAAGGCGTGTCGGCTTGCTGGCAGAGGTGCCTCACGGAGGTGTCTCGTATCCTCCGACGTTCCCCAGGGACCCCCAGCGGCCCTCGGGCACCTCCCGGACCATCAGAGCTCGACGAAGGACGTGCCCCGAGGTTCTTACCACAGGGGCTCGCCTCGTATCGGAGACGCCTGCAGTGGAAGCCCCTGCCAAGAAACACCCCGCTTGCCTCCAGGGTGCCCTGGGTGCCTTGGGCTCCGATGGTTTTGCGATGGGAAGCGTGACGCTCCCACGCGAAAAAATCCATGGACGTCCTGGGGTCCCAGGGCGGCTGGGTTTCTTGTGGACGGTTTCTTGTGGGCTGGCCTCCGCTGTACGGCGAATCACCGCCGCCCCTGCCTTTCAGGATGCGCCCATGTGGCCAAACGTTTGGGCAATGTTTGGCCATGCGATTGGACCATGCGTTCCCCGCTGCGGAAACCCTTCGGGAGACACGTGGGGGAGGAGGAGGAGGAGGAGGAGGAGGAGGAGGAGGAGGAGGAGGAGGAGGAGAGGGAGGTAAAGTGAGATCGGTCGAGTGAGATCGCTAGTGAGATCGATAGTGATGTCCCGTCGGCGTCCCGTCGGTGTCCCCTCGCGAGATCGATCGCGAGGTCGATAGTGAGGCCGACAGTGAGATCGATAGTGAGACTGATTGTGAGATCGGTTGTCAGATCGATAGTGATATAGACATTGAGATCGAACATCACAACGATGGTGAGATCAATTGAGTGATACGTTGGTTCCCCCCCAAGCCTCCTTCTTACCCGAAGGATGGTAGTATAGGTTGGGATCTGCATGCAGAGGGGTTCACACACATGGCCCCGCACACACTGGGTTCCATGCAATGTGTTGCACCAGTGCAGTGTCTGGGGTCCACGCGCTGACGCGCTGACATAACGCTTGTGTGAACAGCGAGAGGATGAAGTACATAGGAAGGTCTCGTTTATTCCAGCGTGGTGGGAGATCCTGCTCTCAGCAGACAGGGCAGGTTGCTTCGTTCCGTCTCGCACCCTCGCTGTTTAGAAACATATACGTTGAAAGATTAAGTGTCCTCCTCCGATTGCCCTCTTGGGTTAGTCCTGCTGCGTCTGTCCAGATGGTTTCGCTTCGGATCGCCATTGCTTCCCCGAGAGGGGCCCGAAGATGGCAAGTGCGAGGGCGACCAGAAGCATCTGGACGAGTGCCCCTTCGTTGAGCACTGCACGCCGCCGTGCAAGCCTCAGGACTGCACGTTCTCAACCTGGAGCGAGGACCGCTTGTTCGTTGCATCTTCCTTCGGGATCTGCAGTTGAGGGGTGTCATGCTGAATAGAACATGCGTGGAATTGCCATGAAATCAGCACAAGTGGTTCTCTTTGCATTGCACGAGACGTGCGTATTACGCACTAGGTATGGCTGGCGATCTCCTAACGTGTGAGCTAGCAGCGCGTATCATTGTCCTTGTCTCTTTTCTCCACGAGGCCTCTGAGAATGACAGCAGTAAAAGTACGCCTTCAGTGGCATCACAACCCGGACAACTGCACGGGCCTTTGCGAGAGGCACCGCGTTGTTGCGGAATTGAACAACGAGTGTGGCAAGCCTTGCAACGGAACGCTCTTGGAGACAAAGAAGTGCGACATGACATGCGAGGCCTCCGAATCACCCCCTGCCTTAGAGAGAAGGGGGTGGTCCTGGATGGTGGGCAGCTCTGTCTGGTTTCGGCGGCGGGCGAGGGGGGAAGCAAGAAGGAGAAGGCCTTCTCAGAGGGCGGCGGGGCTTCTCAGAAGCCCGCCGGCCTTTTGAGAAGTGTTCTGTGTCTTCGGGGAAGGCCTAGGAAACTTTCGAGAAGGCCTGGGGCTTCCGAACCTGCTGAGAAGGCCTTCTCCTTCTCACTTCACCCCCCCGCTCGCTGCCGACTGCTGGCTTCGGCACTGTACGCGCTCCTCCTGCCTCTCCCCTCCTGCTTGCCCACCTGCCCTCCAGCTGCCCTCTCGCCTCGTCTCCGCTCCTTCTCCAGCCACGAGCGGGCCGCGACGCCGCGCTCCCTCGGGACACTTGCCCCCTGTCTTCCCCGTCCCCGCCACCACCCTCCTGGTCCGCCGCCCTCCCTCCCTCCCCCCTCCTCTTTGTTCAGCGGACCTCCATCCCCTGAGCTCCGACGTAGCCACAACACATTGCAGCATCGTCAAAAAGCACGCCTGGAGGCCTGGACCCCATCTGTCTCCCTTCCTCCCCCCTCCTCTTTGTTCAGCGGACCTCCATTCCCTGAGCTCCGACGCAGCGACAACACATTGCAGCATCGTCAAAAAGCACGCCTGGAGGCCCGGACCCCAGCTTATCTTTCTGCGCCCTTTCCCGAGCTGGATCGATCCATCGAGCCCTGCAGGGCCCGAGGCCGGGCGGAGAAGCCCGGCTCGAACAAGTTGCTGCGCCGGGATCTCAGGGCGCGCATGGATTGCACTCTTTGTCCCTCCCTCCTGCCGGCCGCGCGAGCGCGGGCCTCCCCCGCGGCCGGAGCTCGCTGAGTGGGAGCGGGCAAACACCTTCGCCGCCGCTCTGAGAGGACACCCTCTCCTTCCTCCTCCTCCGTCTCCTCCTCCTCCTCCTCCTCCTTCCTCGTCTTCCTCCTCCTCCTCGTCCTCCTCCTCCTTCCTCGTCCTCCTCCTCCTCCTCCTCCTCCTTCCTCGTCCTCCTCCTCCTCCTCCTGCTCCTCCTCCTCCTCCTCCTTCGTCCTCCTCCTCCTCCTCCTCCTCCTCCTCCTCCGTCTCCTCCTCCTCCTCCTCCTCCTCCTCCGCCTCCTCCTCCTCCTCGTCGTCGTCCTCCTCCTCCGGACACCTCCAGACAGCGCCCAGGCCCCTGGAGGCCAAGCCCTTGCGGTGCCCCCTGGCCCGCCCGTGCCGCCCCCGGAGCCCCCCTGGCCGCAGCGGGCGGGCGCCGGCGCCGCGCGCCGCTCGCTGACGGGAGTCCGCACGGAGCCGCCCCGGCAGGTCGCGGCCCCTCGGAGACGGAGCGCTTGGTTTATGTCGGGCGTGTCCCCCTACAGCTAGGGGGATTTCCGATGAACAAATAAAAATACCCCAAAGATATTCCAAAAAGGTCAACAAATATCTAAAAAATAGTCCCCATACTATTTTGGGACTATTTCTTTTTTTATACTTATTTTTGATGTATTTTTTCCATTTTTTTCGTCGAAAATCCCCCTGTAGGAGGGCAGGCCCGACTTGACGCTTGGTGCGCGGATGCCCCGCGCGGGGCGCATCCGTGCGGCCGCGGCATCGCGCCCCAGAGTGCAGGCCGCGAGGGCGCGGGCACGGAGCTGCTCCCAGACGTCCGGGCGCTCCAGTGCTTTTGCACGCTTGGGCGTCGCGTAATGGGGGGGATCGTAAATGGGGGGGGCGAGGGTGGTCCGAAAAGGTACTCAAACGGTACCTAAACGAGCCCCCTGGGGCTCCGGAGGAGCCCGAAAGGGGCACGAAAGGGGACCGTTTCTGACCCCCCCGTTTACGACCCCCCCGTTGAGTCACGCCCAACACGCGTGGGCTCCCGGAGGTCTCGACCACGCCCCCCGGGCCAGCTCCTCATCCTGAGCGGTTCTCTGCTGTCCTGCAGGCCCGGGGAGGGCCCCAGGAGGCCGAGCAGGGCCGAGCAAGCATGGCCGCTCCATGCAGTCGTTGGGGGGGGGAGTCGGGTCTCTGCAGGTCCGCGGCTCGTGAGCCACAAGGCCAGCGGGAAGAGGTCCGGACCTCCGGGAGCCCACGCATCGACGCAAATTTTTGGAGCACCAGATGTCCGGGATCCGTTCTCCCCCTCCCTCGCGGTCTGCACGCCCAGGGCGCGATCCCGCGGAGGCGCGGTGGCACGGCTGCGCTCCGTGCGCGGGGCCTCCGCGAACCCAAGCGCTCCGTCTCTCCGAGGGGTCGCGGCCTGCAGGGACCCTGCCCGCGGCCCGCGAGGCCGCGGATGCGGATGCATGCTTCGCCCGCGACGGGCCTTCTGTCTGCCCTGCGGTCCGAACGTACCTTTCCTCACACTGGACCTCGTCGCGTGGCTTCGGGCACAAGTGTTTTTTGTTTGCATTTTTTTTGCAATCCGGGTTTTTTGTTTTTTGATTGTTTTTGTTTTTGTTGCACCCGCACAGATCGATCCAGCTCGAACCGTGCCGCAGAATGGAGGGGCATGTCACCACCCACCAAACCACCCCAACCCAACCCGAAGGCCTCAATCTGCCCTCCACTTCCAGGGGGGAGGCGTCGGGGAGCATCGAAAAAGCGCGTGTGGAGCCCATACCCCTCCCAGCCTGAAATTCGGGTCTTCTGGTCGGGTTGGGGTGGTCTGGTAGGTAGTCAGCATGTGGGGGGGGGCTCCAGCGGTGAGCTGTGGCGCGGAGTTGCAGTGCTGCCCGCGACGACGGGAGTCTCGGGGTCTGCGCGGCCGTTGCGCCGCGTGCCTGCTCGTCCCTCCCTCCCTTCTCCTCGGAGGTGGACAGACCTCCTACCCTGACACGTCGATCAAGGAATTGGCCGTCTTCGGTTCGCGACAGGGCGTCGCGGCCGTCATTTTTTGCGGGTCCAGGTCCGTCGGTTTCGGCCCCAGGTCGTTTCCACTGAAGGGAGGTTTACTAAAGGGAGGTTTGTCCACCGCCGATTCCCCAACTCCCCAGCTGGGCAGCACAGGCTCCTGGCAGCGTGCGGTGGATCGCGGGCTGGTTCGGCAGCGAATCATGGGGGCCTGGCGTCTGGCGTGCCCTCGGAGATTGGAACATATACATTACCAGTGGCGGGCCGTTTTTCAATCCCAGGGCTTTTTGAGGGTCGGGGACGACGCTGGGGTGGTGTGGTGTATACTTTTTCCCCCGATGTCCTGGGGAAACAACGTAGCGTCTGGGAGCCGATAAGATAGCGCCGATCCAGCGTCGATCCAGCGCCGATCCCGCGTCGATGAGCGCCGATTTCGCCTCGACCAGCGTCGATTCGCAAGAGCCGACAAGATGGTATGGGAGGCTCCCATGAGTTGCCACCGGAACTGCCGGCAGCGTGCGGTGGACCGTGGGCTGGGCCTGGCAGCTTCGTCGATGCTGCCGGTCTCTTCCCGGACGCGCCGCCGCCCGCCGTCGTGAGCCGCGCGTCCAGGGCAATCCTTCTCGATCCCGGCTGAGGGTGGCTCGGTCCTGGGCTTCACCTGGGCTGATCTGGCTCAGTGTCGGGCCGGGCGAAAGGGGGGGATTGGGAAAGGGGGGGTTACGAAATCTGCTGCATGCAGCTGGTTTCGGCCCCACCGAGGGGCCCATTCCTCGATACATAGCCGCCTCCGGCGCCGGGAGGTGCCGGGAAAATCATCTACGTGAGCTGATTCTCAAACCCCCCCTTTGCTATGCCCCCCTTTCGCCCGGCACGACAGTGGCCGAGAAAACAGTCGCCGGGCGGGGCCAGGACGAGGAGAAGTCCGTTCCAGAGCGTGCCGGAGGGCTCGCAGAGCGCCGCGGGAGGCTCCGAGGAGGCCGCGGCGCCCGAGGCATCCTCCAGCGCTGCCAGATCTCAGTCGGGGGTGGATAGACCTCCTACCCTGACGCGTCGATTAAGGAATTTGCCGTTTTCGGTTCGCGAGAGGGCGTCGCGGCCGTCATTTTTTGCGGGTCCAGGTCCGTCGGTTTCGGTCCCAGGCCGTTTTCACTAAGGGCAGGTTTGCTAAAGGGAGGTTTGTCCGCCGCCGGATCTCAGAGATTCTCGATGCATCCTCGCCCAATTCTGTCCTCGTCCTGGCTTCGTCCTATATATCACAGGCGGGCGCCCCATGTCTTGTGCTTCGCAGTCGTGATGCGCTCCCTGTTCATGTTCTTTTTGCGTCCCTCCCGCAGAGCTGCCAATCGCGCACTTCTTCTGCCCACGCGTCCTTCGGCATGCTTGGCTCTGCTGGCTGGCTGGCGGGCTTAGTCTAGCCCTGAGTCCTTCCCGCAACGGCCTCCCAGGAACTGTCTGCCTCGTCGGCATCTCTGGATGCCCGCGCTGGGCCCCCCCGGGCTGTCAGGCCTCGAGCAGGGATGGAGCACTGCCCAGGATGGGCCCGGCAAGGGGACCCGCGATGCTTGTTTTGAGCGGCTCCACGGACACTCGACGATATGTCGCTTTTGCTGCGCGGTCCCAGAGGTCCCGACCCCTTCGGGCCAGTGTTTCGCCCCGGGCCCATTTTTCGGAGGTCTTGGGACGAGACGGCGGGCCGAGGGGGCGGAAATCGGAGAAAGACTTCCGCACGGAAACACGCAGACGCTTCGCGGAGAGATTTGGGCCTGGGTCGGGTGGCCTCCGCCCTGCCTCCGAGGTCAGCCAGGACTGCCTGCTCTCCAGCTGGTCCCACTGGACCGACTGCTCCGCCAGCGAGAACGGCCAGTACGAGCGGGCCCGGGAGGCGGCTCGCGGCTCGCCTCCCTCCCTCCGCACTCGTCCCTCGCCCTGCGCCCTCCCCCTCTTCCCTGGCGTTGCACTGCGCCCCCGTGCAACAGCAGGTGGTGTGCAACGTGAAGTCGGGCCTGTCCCTCTACAGGGAGAATATTCAGAAATGGTTCAACAAGAGTCTGGGGACGATTTCTGTTTTTACTATTTTTGGTACTCTTGGAGTATTGTTCGTGTACTTCTAATTTTTCGCCCAAAGTCCGCCTTTAGGGGGACATGCCCGACCAAAGTGTAACGTGGAGTGCGGTGCCGATTTGGGGTTTTTCGTATTTCGCTGGTCGCACGAGCAGCATTGAAATGCGGGGGGCCATTGGGCTCGCCAAGCACCGGTTGCGTTTTCGCACGGCGTTGGTGGTCTGAGCCGGCCCACATGGGGCGGGCTCAGAGCCATGAGCCATGGGCTGGAGTTTGTGGGCCTCGGAGAGCTTTGTGAATTAGCCTGGGCCGCATCGTTTGGGCCGTGCAGTCTACGCGATAGTAATTGACGATCAGGGGGTTAGTCATCGACTTTGCTGCAGGCGCTCTCGAAGGCGACATTCGCGTTGGCGCGGCAAGGCGTTGATCGACGGGGTGCCAATATGAATCGCGATACATGTCATGGCGACGGTGCCGCATGGCTTCGAATGCATCGCAAGTGCCCGGGCGGAGCCCAGGCGGCAAATCAAGCATCTAAGATCGGCAGATGCGCCCCACGCTCCATGGACTGGAAGGAGTCGGGCAAGGATGTGGCGCGGAGTCTTTCGCGCCTTTCTTGCGCGCGCTTTTCAAATGTTGTGTTCATGACGATGCAACTGATGAGGGCCTCCTGCGGGGCCCCAGGTTGAAGCGCGCGCGCGAGCACTGGCGAGAGAATTGTGACCAGGCCTCGCGGGCCTTACGCTGGATCGCACCGGCACGCGCGCGCGCGCCGCCGGGTCCGACGCCCCCTTTCCCCGAGGTCCCGCTGGGCCCGAGTTTGCACCGTGTGCATTGGGGTGGTTGGGGCTCGGGCAGGTGCGCCGGGCGCTCGTCGGCGTGCACCGATTGGTCTGGACTGGCCCCATCGTGGCCAGGATTGCGACGCCGTGGTTGGGGACTCTGCCAGGTCGGAGACAGCGGACTTCCAGTTCGAGGTGCGTTGGGCCTCTCGAGGGACCTGTTCAAACGTAGGAGGCGCTGCAAGGACTGCTATATACAGGCTGGCGGCTCTCCGCATGCCCCCTCGAGCACCATTTGCGGTGACGGATGTTGCTCCTGCAGGGGGGCGAGGAATGAATCCGCGCCCGCGCCGATGTCCAAGTTCAGCGCGCAGATGCATGGATGGGGCATTTTCGTCACCATGGAAAGGCGACAACCGCCGGAGTTTTATTGGTGCCCGTCTCTAAAAGCAGCCGAGGACTTTGCTACTGACGCCCAGCATCCGTGGGAATACAATTTCGGGAAATGCCTGGAAGGACAGGTTCGCCAACATGGGGTCGGTGTCTCGCGCTGTCGTGGTCGCCCTAGTCAACGCATGCGAAGGGTGCATGCCAAACGCGCGTTTGCAAGCACGTTTCTTAACATGGTGTGGGTGCAGAAGGACTTATCGCGATACGTTGAGTGGCCGCCCTGAGCGTTTGTATATAGAGAGCCAGCTCCTCCCAGGCCAGCTGCAGCCACGGCTGACTGACTGACTGACAAACCATACACCAAGCGGTGCGTGGGCATGAACGCTGGCTTAAAGAAGAGCCTGGGCCTTGGCTGCACGCCGGGCTACTGCAGTCGGCTACCAGTGAGAAGCTGTACTTGTGCGCTGGGGGCCCAGGGCACCACAAACGGGAACGGCGCGCAAGTGGGTCACACTGGGACGACCAGGAGGAGGAGGAGGAGGAGGAGGAGGAGAAGGAGGAGTGCACGTGGAATTAAAACAGGGCGCGTATAGTACGATCGTGTTGGCAAGTTTGCGCTGCAGCCTCGGCTGCTGCCGTGCTACCAAAAATGCATACAGAATGCTTCATCATCTCACAGGCAAGCTCCTTGTATGGCCTACCAACCCTCCTTGTTGTAGCATCTGTCTGTGGTGTCAATGAGCCGGAAGCGAACGTGCACGTCCGCAGCGGGTGTCCTCGATCGGCGCGTAGCACTTGACCGAAGAGCAGGAGCTGCCGGCGTAGAAGTTGCTGGCTCGCTGGGGCGTGGTCTGCACGGCTCAGCACGTCTGTGTTCCGTACGCGCGAAATCCATGAAGGTCGGACGCCTATGATCTGCCGGACACACCTGTTCTGGAAGCCGTCCAACCGCCGCAGCTGCGGCGCCTAGCATAATCTGTAGGGGTTTCAGAGATGTCCGGTGCGAGCAGTGTTTGGCTCTGGCTAGGGCTCCTGTCAGCCCCGCAAACATCCTTCCGGGACCCTTGTCAGCCCACAGCCCAACAGAGGTGAAGGGCAAAGACGGATGTGAAGTTGTAGGGCGCCCCATCCATGAGGTCAGCGGCGATGGCGGCGGCCGTAGTTGCGGCGGACTGTCTCGATTATGTGGTTGGTGTTGAGGCGAGTTCACCCGTCGTCGGGGTGTCGGTTGTGCTTGCCGAAGCCATCGTTGAGCTCCACGGCGCCATTTTGTGATGACGCCCACGGCCATGGTCTGTACCACATGCAGACCCACCAAATGTCCAAGGTAGAGTGGCCAGTCGCAAGGTCGAAGGTGAATGGCCAGGACATCCCGAGCATAACCCGATTCGGCACAGGCAGAACCACCAGAGTTCCGCCATCAGGGCGGGGCGGCATCCTACACCCTAGGCGATGCTTAAGAAAACTTACGTTTTCAGCCAGAGTCTCGATTATTCTTAATGTTGTATAATAAATCCTAAGCTTTTGATCGACATTCTGGGTTTTTATTCAAATTCTGAGACTATGAATTTCTTAACCCATGATTTCTTAAGCATTTCGCAGGGTGTAAGTCTAGACAGCCCCCTCCCTGCCGAATGAGTTGTTATTTATGTGTCCGCGTCTCGCCGCTGCAGCTTGTTCAGGGTGAGCGGCTCCTGAGTTGGCCCGTGCTCCCGTCCGTCGGCTGCGCGATTCGGCTGTTTGGCGGTCTTTCTCTTCCTCACATTCTTCTTTCCTCTTCCTCACATTATTCCCTCCTCTTCCTCACATTATTCTCTCCTCTTCCTCACATTATGCTCTCCTCTTCCTCGCATTCTTCTCTCCTCTTCTTCCTCCTCCCCTGCCGACCAGGCGGATGATCACGGCACGCGAGAGTAGCTGCAGCACCGAATTCAAAGCAGTGGCAATATGAGAGCGAGAGAACAGAGAGCAGCAACACACACTGGAGCACAGCTACCTTGCCCCGTCCCCGGGGCCTGGGAGGCTCCCAGAAACCCCATTTGAAATGGCCCAAGGGTTCACAAAAAAAGCCATAAGAACAGGCTGGGTGAGGGGCCCAACCCGAGCCCCACCCCCACCGCAGGGATCTTATAGTAGAGCGAGGCAGCAGCAGTCGCCAAGGAGAGAAGGAACCCCGAGAAAAAGTGGCCCTAGACCTGCAGCTGTCCTCAGGATCAGGTTCTCATCCTGGGCTGCTGCGTGACATTCCCAGTGCCCGCGGATAGAGCCTCGTGGGCTCGACGGCTGCGAGCAGAGATCCCAGGATCCCTTTTCCTCCATGGCGTGCCTCCTCCGCATTCTTCCGGCAACGCCCCGCGCCAAACACCCACCATTCTGATCCGCTTACTGTGATTTCAGGAGGGAAAGAAACACACAGACACAATTAATCGTCGGTTCCCCAGAAAATATGGGGAACAATATGTTATATGAAAATATGGGGAATCCTGTTATTTATGTGTACTTATTATTTAATCGCTTCGCTCATTCCGCCGGCCCGTATTGTGCCATCGCAGGCGTTTGCTTGCGCGTTCGTGGCCTCTTGGAGCCTCGGTGGGGCCGTTTGGGGCCTCTTGGCGCCTCTTTTTAGGCCTCTTGGAGAACTCGGGAGGCCTCCAGGGGGCCTCCTGAGCTCTCGTGACGGTCTCTTGGGGGGCTTTCGGCGGGCTCTTGGCGGTATTTGTTGGTCCTCTTGGGGCCTGGGGCCTGACGTTGTTGGTCCTCTTGGGGCCTCACGGGAGCTTATTGGGGCGTCTTGGGGGTGTCTTGGAGAGTCTCTTGGGGCCTCTTTCGGGGTCCTGGGCGCCTTCTGGGGCGGAGGGCTCGATTTTTCAGTTCTCGGTTCCCTTCTTGAGCCCCTCTTGGGCCCGTCTTGGGGCCTCTTTGTCCGCCTTGGGCAGCACTTGGGCCGTCTGGGGGGCGCTCTTGGGCCGCTCCGGGGCCGTCTTGGGAGCCTCGTGGGCCGTCTTGGAGCAGTCTTGAAGGCCTCTTGGGCCCTCTTGGAGCGTCCGGAAGCGAAAAGGCCAGAACGCAAAAAAACATTGAAAAAACTAATGAAAATCAACGATTTTGGCAGCTTGGGGCCCTCTTCGGAGGCCTCTTGGAAGGCCCTTGGAGCGTCTTGGAGGCCTCTTGGGCTGTCTTGGGGCCATCTGGGGCGTCTTCGGGCGATCTTTGGCCGTCTCGGGCCTCTCTTGGACCGTCTAGAAAGCTTCTCGGGGCCCTCTTGGACCGATCTGGAGCCCTCTTGGACTCCGAAACAGAACTCCGGCATCTCTGACCCGACCTTGCCGGGGACTTGCCGGGACCTTGCCGGGGTACTTTTCGCCCGGGGACCCCCAGGGGCCGCCCCGCGCGCGCGAACTAGAAATACTGTTAACCAGGTACCGGAGATCTTAGCACGCCCTGGCCCGTTGGGCCGGCGAATTTGTGTGTCCCAGGGCCCCTTCATATTGCCCCACCGTGAAAGCGCAGCCACCGCCGGCCGCGCGCCCGGGCGGTGGCCACCACGTCGGGGGCCAGGAGCTTCCTGCTTCGGGGCAGGCCAGGTGCCTGCCTGGCATCGCTCGGACGTGTGCATTTTTTCTCGGCGAGAACCATCAAGGATCATCCTGGACCATCGAGCAAAAAGAACACGCACGACACCGAAAAGTGCACGGGAAATGGACGTCCGAGCGACGGCAAGCTTGGGGGCGGGGCTCAGGGCTACACGGGATCCGGGCACGGCGACACGGCACAAAGAGAAGAGCAGCTGTGTGCGAGTTCCCTCGGCGTAAGTTGGGCGCTGCAGAGAATGCTTCGCCTTCGGCTCATGTCGCCCCCAGCGGAAGCCGGCGGAAGCACATATGGGGGCGGGTGCGTGGGCGCAGGCCGTCCGGCGGAAGGCGGCGGGCATAGCATTGAGACGTCAGGGCTTCTTGGAGTTGGGCAAGTGTTGCCGCTCCGCTGCGCGAAGCGCAGAGCATCCCCACGCAAGATCGGGAGGGCAAAGTTCTCCATCAGGGGATGGGCGTTCCTTTGGCATTCGCCGAATGAACTGCCCCCAAGTGCTCACCGCAGCGACACGGCACGCACGATTCATGTGCACGTGGCTTCGAGAGACAAGCCTCCTCCACTGCACCAGCCCTTGCCTGATGGACAGGCAAGGGCAGTCCTAAAGGGGCCCTGGAAACGGGAGGGTCTTTTGATACCGTCTTTGAGCCAAGCGTTTCTTGAACATGGGAACGGGAATCAAACGGCGATGGGAAACGGCAAACAAACGGATCTGGGATTGGAGCCGGAACCAGAGCCGGAAGCACGAACGGCGATGGAATTGGCAACGCATGACGACGGGACCGGCAAGGAGACAGCGAAACGGAACCATTCAGAAAAACGGCCCTGTCGTTTCCAGAGCCCAGTGAGGGGCAGTCATCTTTTTCCTCCTGACCCCACGGACGCTGGTCACGGACGCCTTCGTGAGGAAGGTGGGGGCGCCGCGGCTGGAGTGGGCGAAATTCTTGGGGCCACATGCGCACCGGGCATGCGGGGAAGGAGACAGATTGCAAGATCTTGTTCAAGATCCTCTTGTTTGGAAACATAGATTGAGAGAGCGGTGTGTGTAGTGTATGAATGTGCGTTTGCCGACGCGCCTTGGGCGTATGGCTTCTGTCTGTCTGTCTGTCTGTCCTCCTGACCCCAGAGGGGCGCCCACCCCTTCAGGTCTTGCAAGCGCCGACTGGTGGAGGCAAGCAGTGCGACGGGGCGCTGCGGGAGACCAGGACTTCGCGTCCCGTCTTGCTCCTCGTGGGGGAGAGGAGGGCGAGGCGGAGGATGGGCAGAAGGGAGGAGGGGGGGAAAGTGTGAGGAGGAGGAGGAGGAGGAGGAGGAGGAGGAGGAGGA